AAGGCTAAAAGTTATTACTGGGAGAATGAATAAAACATGAATGAGGTACCCAGATTAAAGAATAAGCAGTTATAATTTCTGGAGTGTGTGTGTGTGTGTGTGTGTGTATACGTGTTTTGTTTTGTTTTGTTTTGTTTTGTTGAGACAGGGTCTCATTGTGTATCTCTGGCTGACCTGGAACTCACTATGTAGACTAAGCTGGCCTCAAACTCAGAGATCCACCCACCTCTGCCTTAGGAGTGCTGGAATTAAAGGCATGCACCACCACAGCTGCTAATTTCCAGGTTTTGATCATTGTACTGTGGCTGTGTAAAGAGGATATCCTTGTTTTTAGCAACATACTTTACATACCAAAAGAATCTAAGGGGTATAGAGACTACATCTCTAAAACCAACTTTTAAGATGATTCAAGGGCAAAAATGTACAAGTAAATAAAAATAAAGGATAAAGCAAATGGATACACAGTAATTATCCTATTGCAACTTTTCTAGGAATTAAGATTTCTTTAAAAGTTAAAGAGAAAGCCTCGTACAGTGGTACATGCCTGTTACCCCAGCATTTGGGAGGTGGAGGCAGGAGGATAAAGAATTCAAAGTAATCCTTGGCTACATAGTGAGTGTGAGGCCAGCCTGGGCTACATGAAACTGCCTCAGAGCTAGAGAGATAGCTCAGCAGTTAAGAGTGCATACTGCTTTTGCCAAAGACCTGAGTTTGGTTCCCAGCACTCATGTGGGGAGACTCACAACAGTATGTAACTTCAGCTTCAAGGGATCCAGTCCCCTCTTCTGGCCTCTGCAGGCACTGCACACACATGCACTTACCTACCCAGAGGCATATACATATACACATTAAAAATAAAAATTAAACAAAAATGTCACAGGTTCAGGTCAAGAAGGTGAGGTGCATAGTTAGAGGGCTTGTTCCAAGCCTCCATTTCCCCTAAGGTCTGAACTCCTACCCCCTAGCCTCAAGTCCACTGTTGACCCTGCCCTTTGGGGGACAAAGAACATGGCCTAGATCATGGAATTTCTTCCTACAGAAGTTACAAACACCAGCCCTGGATCAGAAATTAAGCAAGATCCTCTGGTGGGCTGGCAAGGGTAGAGTTCCACGGTTCTGTCAGCAGCAGGCTGAGCAGTGCCAGTTGAATGCACTGGCGTGTGGGAGAGTTCCTAGGTCTCCAGCACTGGCTGCAGGGCTCTCTAGCAGGGGCCATCCCTGGGGTGTGGTCCACAGTGACCTGTGGCTAGGGGAAGTAGACACACTGAGATGGAAGCCTGGCTTTGCAGAAAGTGGCAGAGACAGTGTTCTCCCTAGGCTCAGGTGTCCATGGTGAAGCCCACTGACGTGGCTACTTGAAGAAGTCCATAAGCTGATAGTGAGGAGCAGCTTGGGCTGGGCTGGATGAGTGGGAGTTGCTGAGGCTGTACATCTGGCTGGCAGGTAGCTCTGGAGGTCTCTGTGAAGACAGCCTTCCTCCAGAGTGGAAGGAGAGGTGGGGGACAGGACTGAAGACCTCTGGCAGTCCCTCCCCATCAATGGAGTGTCTGGCTTTGCCCCAGATTGCAGAACTGAGGGTGTCTGGCTGCCGATGAGTCAGACCCGGAGGCTTCTCTGAAGCCTGGCTACTTTCCTCCATCAGTCCTGCTGCATCCCTTCCTGGGGCAAAGCAGGACTGCAGTTTGGCCTGTCTCCCTTCAAATGTCATTCCCTCTATATTCTGAGAATTGGGGGTGACATAGGGGCCCAGTGAACTGATTATTTTGCCAGGCTCAGTATGTGCTCCTGAGTGTGTACCTGGGCATGTGTGCAGGCACAAGCAGCCTCCATTGTAAAAGATGGGTGTTTTCATGGGTGAGTAGTAATTACTGGGTAATGCTTTAAAACCTTTCCTGAAAGAGTACAAAGCTGGTTTTTTTTTTGTTTTGTTTTGTTTTTTCTTTTCTTTTTTTTTTTTTTTCCTGAAGTCAGGAGTACTTAAAAGGATTACCATGTAGATTTGATTTTTAGATAACACTAAAATGGATCCCAAATGGACTTCAGTAGAGGGCTGCTATCTCCCTAATGGAAAGTGCATGGCCTGAGGCTCTGCTCCCAGAGCCAGCAGGGGAGGGACATGGGGCGGACTGAAGGGGGCTGGCAGGCTGGCAGGCTAGAGAGGGTTTGGGAGACAGGAGTGAGAGCCCTATCCTCTGGGGATCATCTCCTTCCATTTGGGGAACAGGAGGTTGTAGCTATACTCCCTTAAAGCCCCTTCGCCTTCCCAGGAGAGTGTTTTTATATCTTTTGGCCTGGCCCTGGAAAGCCAAAACCACTCCAGTGGGAAGCAAGGGTTATTTCCATTTGCCTTTCTGGGCAAGTGAGGGAATCAAGGCCCAGAGGCAAGTCCATGGGCTGTGGACCACTTGGCCACAGGATCCAGGTCCACCCTGGGACAGTCACTCCTGAGATAGGCTTCTCCCATGACCTTGGCCTTTTCGAGTGAAAAATGTCAGTGGTCCTAGTTTACCTTGGTGTCCAGTGTCTAGGTGGACATAGGACACTTCAGCAGACTTATGAGTTCTGTAAGAGTTCTATAGAACTCAGGAATCAGTTTCAGACCCACTGAAGCCTTGTTCAGACCTCTTAGGTAACCTATGTGTGGCAGGCCCACCCAGCTTGGGCACAGGTAGGGAGGGATAGAGGAGCATCTTGCGGTATTACTCCTCAAGGCTTCCATAGGGTCCTCAAGCAGTGGGACACCGGTCACCTTGCAGCCTCCACAGCCAGGCATGCTGAAGCCTAAGGTTGGAATGCCGGCCAGCCTGTGAAAATTCAAGAGGGAATTGGGATAGACACTTCTAGTACTGGGGTCTCCACTGTCCTCTTTCATTAGGAGGTATAGCTTAGTAGACTAGAGGCTTCCCCAAGTATAAATGAAGTTACTCACCCACCTGCTGGTAGTTACCCAAGTATGGAGCTAGGACAGGGACTACAGGGAGAGGCTGGGCCTGCTACATGCTAGGTGAGCAAGAGAGACACCGGTTTTGAAAAGACTCAAACAGCCCTGGCTTGTGATCTGAGTTAGCATTTATATACACAGCTCTGCTGGCTGGGTACTCCCTCCACAGTCTTCCCATTCTTGGAGACCCAGGCCTCCTCCAGACACAGCTATTTTAACCTCCCTCTATTTTCCTACCTCATCCCTCCCTGTAGGCCGGGCCTTAGAAAGAACTCCTCAGTCCCCTCAACTCTCATGGAACCTGCTCTATGGGCAGGGCTAGGCCCTCTTAGAGGAGACACAGGCAAGCCCAAGGACAGCGTCATCCTGAGCCCTATCGCTCACTCAGACCAATTAACCTTCAGAGCGGCATTAAGGAAATTAGGCAACACACTTCACAGCTAACAGACAGGGTCCTATGGGGACTGAAGGAAGGAGGGAAGAGGGAACCAACCTCTTACCTGCCAAAGGCAGCCTTGGGACCTCCTCCTCTGTGTCCTTACCTGTTCCTTTGGTCCTGCACTATTGCAAGCCTGGGTTCTCTCCTTGCATAGAGGGTTCCCCTGGCCCAGAGGCCAACCTCCTATCCTGCAGCAGAGGAGGAGGCTAGACCAAGAAAGAGCACAGTATAAGAAAGAGTCCTGGGGCCAGCTCCATCAATGGCTTATAATAATCCTTCTGGCCACCCGTAGAAGCAGAGCATCTGTCTGGAAGACGGGAGGTCCCTCTGACCTGACATCTGTGAGCCTGAGGCCCCTAGGTGGTAGGTTCTCCCCAGAAGCCAGAGGACATATCCCTTCCTGAAGAGGGAAGGGAAAGGAAGGGATGTGGATCAGCAGCTGGGCCTCTGGGCAAGCACAGAGTGAGGGTTGGGGGTGGGAGAGAGACCCATGGATGGGAACTGAACTCCAGCCTTGGAAAGAGCAGGGACCCTTTGGACAGGATGGGACCAGTGGAAACAAAGACCCCACACCTGCTGGAAAGTTGGATAGGTAGGGGAGGGGGGAGCTCAGCTGGTTATGCCTTGGTTGTGAAAGGAGTTGGCCTTTAGCCTACCCTCACCTTTCTTGAGGAGCTGGTTCTCAAACAGCCCTCCCTATGAAGTCATAGGTTGGGTTTTGGAGAGCTGTTGTGCTTCCTTCCCAGTCCCATCTTCATCTCAGCCACACCCCCTGGCTACCCCTGAATGTCCAGGCCTCTGGACATCGAGTGTCCCCACTTCTTCCTCAATTGCCCTTCCCCATGGTCCTAGGGGAATGGGCCAGGCATGTGTGCCTGCGTGTGCATCCATGCCCACACCTGCACATCACACTTGTCCAGAGGTGTGAGTGTATGTGCTCATCTGTCAGCAGGCTCTGCCTGCACTGACTGTACCCACTGAGTCTTACCTGACACCTGTTGCTCCTTGTATGTTGGGAAGCTCTTGTGGGCTGGGAGGGAGCTGGGGGCTCAGAGATTCCTGTCCTGGGAGCAGGAACCAGACTCCAGAGGCTCCAGAGCCTCCCTCAGGCCAGGTGCACGTTTAACTCTGGCTGACACATTTCTGAGGGAACCTCACATTGACCCTCACTCCTGCCTCCTTGAGCCTCCCTCTTCCTTTCCAACACTTCAGTTATTCCACTTCTGCACTTGTGGACCAAGTAGTCAAATGCACCTTGATTGTTGTACTATAAAGAAGACTTGAGAGGATGAGGAAGACCTGGGAGGGAATCTTAGTGGATCTCATTCTTAGGCCTGTTGTGATCTGTGACTGTGTTTGGAGGACTTGAGCCTGTCTGGATCAGATCACACAAATGACAGTGGTTGGGAAGGAGGGGAAAGGCTCAGGGAGGCCAAGCTGGTGGTAGCCTGCAGCCTTTATAGGGCTCCCAACAAGGAAAATAAATAGGCTGTGCAAAGGCCAGGCTTGGGGTTGGGAAGAAGTAGAAAGGAGGGACTCCCGGACCCCAACTTAGAAGAGGCAGCTGAGAGAATGAACCAGAGCTCTGTGCCCATCTGTCTGTCTGTGTGTCCACTGTAGGTGTGCCAATGCTGTCCGTCCAGCCTAAAGGGAGGCAGAAGGGCTGTGCCGGCTGTAATCGCAAGATCAAGGACCGCTACCTGCTGAAGGCGCTGGACAAGTACTGGCACGAGGACTGCCTCAAGTGTGCCTGCTGCGACTGCCGCCTGGGTGAGGTGGGCTCCACCCTCTACACCAAGGCCAACCTCATCCTGTGCCGGCGTGACTACCTGAGGTGGGTTCTGTTGTCAGCCTCCCCGTCCTGCCCAGCGTGCAGAGTCCCCATCCTTCCAGGCCTGTGTGACTCTGCCCCATGCTCTAGACCAGGCAGCCTGTGTGCACTGCCCATGTGGTCCCTCTTTTCTTCACCACCTCATGCCAGTCCCTCATTCTCTAAGATAAATCTTCCCTGTGGTCACTAGCCTGCTTCAACCTCTGCCTGGTGTTTCTTACACATCACCTCTGGGAATCCAGGTACGGACACTTCAGAGGGGCTTGTAGGAGCAGATGAAGCTATTCAGACATGTCTGGGCCTTCTTCCCTAGTGGAGTCTCCTGCTCACCTCTCCCCAGAGTCCTCCGTTTCCAGGTGGTGCTGGGATTAGACTCCCATTTGCCTGAGCAGGAAACCATACCCTAGGACAGGGATTGCTAGTGCTTTTAAAGACCTGGGTTTGAAGGAGCTCTGAGCCTTTAGCTTAGAACCTTTCCTCTGTCCATCATTTACCCCCTGTGAAGCAGTGGAAAGAATCCTGCTTCCCTTCCTTGCATTCCTCGGAGTGCTCACCCCCTCCCCTACAACCTGGATCCTATTCCCTGAGGCTGCCTTCCCCAATTAACCCTCCCTTAGGCCATTTATGACATCAGCAAGGCTGGAAGGAGGCCATGAAGCAGGGGCCTTGGCTGTGGCCCAGCACCTACATTTGGCTCTGTCACAGGCTGCTGGATGGTGGCCGGGCCTTGTGGGGAAGGAAGGCCTATCTCATTAATTAATAGGTTGGGGTGAGGGCTGGTGGGGCTCTTGCTCAAGTAAGGGCAAGATGGAGGAAAGCAGGGTTATTGGCAGAAGGTCCCAACTTCCCCCAAAGAGCCTGAGATTTACCCTTTTGCACCTTTCCTTTCAATGCTTGCCTTTTGCAAGAGATTTTAAGAAAATTTATTTTTATTTTACATGTATGAATGTTTTGTCTGCATTCATGTAAATGTACCATGTGTGTGCACTGCCTGCAGAGGCCAGAAGAGGGCGTTGGATTCCCCTGGAACTGGAGCTACAGATGGTTGTTAGTTGCTATGTGGGTTCTTTACCTGGGTCCTCTGCCAGAGGCACAAGTGCTCTTAACCACTGAGCCACACTGTGGCTGCCTGTCTGTCTATAGATATGTGCATATAGGAAGTTGTGAGCTGCCATATGGGTTCTGGGAACTGAACCTGGACTCTCTGAAAGAGCAACAATTGTTCTTAACTGCTGAGCCATCTCTCTAGCCGTGCAAGAGATTTTTTTTTTTTTAAAGCGATGGAGCGTAGTGCTTCCAGGGTGGGGAGGGAACTGAGGCTGGGGCCAGGGGCAGCAAAGGGGCCTTCAAGTCTGGAGGTTTGGGATATCAACCTGGGCAGTTGAACTAGCAGGCTAGGAAGAGGGGACTATTTATCAGATGGCCTGCTATTGGGACTGGGGAAAGGCATGCCATGACATAGGATGCACTTGTCAGGAAAGAAGCACCCACGACACTCTAGAATGTGCAGCCACTCGAGGCTGGAAGCTTTCTTCTTGTGTGTTTACAGAGCTAAGGAATGACTTCTGGGGCCAGGTAGGCCGGTAGGTTGGAGAAGGATGGCTGCCCAGAGCCTGGCCCTTTACAGCAACTACTGGTGACAGAAAAGGCCTCCATTGGCAGGCAGATGCTGTGGTCCAGCCTTTGTCTGCCTTTATCAGAGCCAGGCTGGTCTGCAGGTGCCTGAGCCTACACTGGACAAATCAGGAATTAGAGTCCCCCTCTCCCTGTGCTTGTCAGTCCCCTGCCTCACTTAGGACTTGCTCAACAGAAAAGAAGCTAGGAAGGACCTTCGTTGGCTCAGACCATTGGGGCATCTAGCCAAGAACTGAAGAACTGTTCTGAATGGGGAGAGTGAAATCCTGTCCCTAGAGCTTTGTAGCCAGCAGCTGAGGGGAGGGATACCCCCCTAGGATTCCCCAACAAGAGACCATTGTGCCAGGTACCCTTGAAACTTCCTTTGAGGATTGGTTCTGTGTGAGAAGTATCTTTCGGCCGGATTGGATCCAGCATCCTCATTTTATAGGAGGATAAACTGAGGTTCCAAGAAGGAAAAGAAGACATAGGCAAACGAGGCAGTGAGGTCAAGGCAGAAAATGATTTAATAAAGCATTGTACATTTATCTCATATTTGAGACATGTAAGCCAGGTTAGCTTTGAACTCACTGTGTAGTCAAGGATTACCTTCAACTCCTGTTCCTCCCGTCTCCACCTCCTGAATACTGAGATTATAGATATGGGCAACCACACTAGATTTATGTGGTGCTGGGAATGGCATTCAGGGCTTTCTGCATGCTAGGCAAGTACTCTACCAACTGAGCTACCTCTTCAGCAAGCACTATAATTTAAAGGCATAAAGGATGGGGCTGGTTCAGTGGCATGGACTGTTCTCATGGAGGAACCAGGCCACATTCCCCTGGCGAGTTGTTTATCTCTGTGTGACTCATTCTTGTCTTGAAAATGGGGCAGGTGATACATGTGTCTACCTCATAGGGCTATATTGGGATCAAATGAGGTGATCTTTGTAAGCTCTTAGAACATCCCTGAACTACAGGCTAAGTTAGGGTCAAGGTTAGGTAGTGCATTGTCTTGTGAGTATATGTTTTCATCTTTGACGGTTGAGATGACTGGGGCTCAGAGAGACTTTCCAAGGACACACAGTACATCATGGGTAGAATGCCTCTGACGCTTCAGCCTGTATGGATCTGAGGTCCTTGCTCAGTGTAGCCTACCCTAGTACTTGAGGGACCCCAGGAAAACCTGGAATGAATTTAGGATGAGTGGTGTTAGGATCACCTGAAACCTGATTTGGCAGGCTCTAGATAGAACAGCTAGTGCCTTTACCCCTTGGCCATGCTGACCTGACCCCCATAGGCTGGAGACTGGACAGGATTCTGGGTGGAGGCAGTTCCCTGGCAGACCCTGGAATCCTCTGTGCTCTTCTGGCAGGCTCTTTGGCACCACAGGAAACTGTGCTGCGTGCAGCAAGCTGATCCCAGCTTTCGAAATGGTGATGCGGGCACGAGACAATGTGTATCACCTTGACTGCTTTGCCTGCCAGCTCTGCAACCAGAGGTGAGTGCCGGACCCTCAGCCAACCCAGTACACTCCCAGAACTCAGCCTGAGGTTGCTGGCTGGGCCCAGAGTACGGAAGAGACATGCATGCAAGTGTGGGTTCTGTGTATGTGACTGGTATGCATGCTGTTGTTGTTTTGTGTGTGTGTGTGTGTGTGTGTGTGTGTGTGTGTGTGTGTGTGTGTGTGTGTCTCAAAACTGTGTGATGAGGGGTGTACTTTCTTTACGCATATATATTGCCTAAACCCTGTGATCAGAGGTGTACATTCTGTACTGGCATATACATTGGTATGGCAAATTTCTGTATGAATTTAATTAGAGGGTATGCATGAGTTTTCTGTGTATATATAGTGTCATAGTGTGAGTGTATATGTGCATTTGGAGGGAATTGTTTGTGATAGGGTCTTACGTATCCCAGGCTGGCCTCAGACTTGCTATGTAGCCAAGGAGGACCTCAGAAGATCCTCTTGCCTGTACCCCCTGAGTGATGGGATTATAGGCATTAGGCATGCCTGGTGTGTGCATTGCTGGGGATTAAACTTAGTGCATGCTAGGCAAGCTCTCTACCAACTAAGCTACATCACCGTCCCAAGTTAACTATTTTTTGGCCTTTTTTTGGGGACAAGGTCTCCTTGTAGCCCCAACTGGCCTGGAACTCCCTATGTATACCAGGCTGGCCTTGAACGCACAGAGATCTGCCTGTCTCTGCCTCCCGAGTGCCGGGATCAAAGATGTGCACCACCATGCCTGACAACTCCAATTTTTTATATTTATTTGGTCTCATATAGCCCAGGCTGACCTCAAACTATGTATGTAGCTGAAGATGACCTTGAACTCCTGATCCTCCTGACTCCACCTCCCAAGTTCTAGGAGCACTGGGATTATAGGAGCACACCACCATGCTCCGGTATATATGTGCTCATATGTGTATTTTAAATGCTTGTGTATATGTGGACCAGTTCATGGAATTAGTGTGCATGTGACTGTAATTGTCTATGCATAAGGGTGTGTGCATACTGTGTGTATATGATGAGGTGAGGATGCATGTGCACATTTTAATCATGTAGATGCAAGTGATAGCATGAGTGTGACATGTATAACTGTCTACATATGCTGGTGTATACAATCCAGTAAGAAGGCGCTTTCAGGCCCACAGAGTTAGAGGTCGCCTCAGAGAATATCCTCATGACCCTACTCCTGTGAATCTGTTGCAGTCCCCTCTCTTTTGTGAGTTTTTGGGTTCTATTCACTGTCCCAGCCCTATGGTAGGCCTTAGGGGATTTAAGGAGTCACAGTCTTCATCCCTGGCTAGGGCTTACCAACAAAAGCAGGACCTTTTCTTAAGAGTCCAAATGTTCCTGAAGTGAGGTCCAGAGGGACCTACAGGAATCACTGGGTTGGCTGGGACTCTGACCAGACCTCCTCCTGGGAGGGCTCAGTGAAGTTCTATCGCCACCTGGTGGTTAGACTGAGAACTGCAACTGGGACTGGGTCAGTGACCCTGGGGCTTAAGGTCTCAGCCAACAGGGGACATCTTTGAGGAGAGATTTGATATTGCCCTCCCCTCCTCTTTCCACCCTTTCAGAGGACCAAGGGAGCCAAGTGTGGATTTCCTTGGGTTGGAGAATAAACAGTAGACCGAAAGGATGAATGCCCTGAGAGGGAAGGCAGAGGAATGGAAAAGTCTGCCATTTTATCCCTCCCTTCTCCCATCCTTCTTTCTCCATCTCTACTCGGTTTACTTCTGTTCCTGGGGCTTCTCTTGTACTCTCTCTGGGACTAGGATAAATGGTCTCTGTTCTTCCTGCATTCCCTTGGGTGATCTAATGATGGGAGGCCTGTGGCTTGACTACCTGTCTGCCCCACCACCCCACGTGGCAGCACCTGGCTGTAAGGACTTGATCAAGCTTGCTGTGACATTTCTGCCATCCCTTCTGGAAGGTTCGAGTAGCTAACTCTTCGTTCCACCACCTCCTACATGTCCCACCTCCTAAGACCCTGGGACCACTCCCCATTGGGACCTCTCCTATAGCCTTATTTTATTGCTTGGATTTTTCTAGATTTTGCGTGGGAGACAAATTCTTCCTGAAGAACAACATGATCTTGTGTCAGATGGACTATGAGGAGGGGCAGCTGAATGGAACCTTCGAATCCCAGGTTCAGTAACACCTGGTGCCTGGCCTCCAGGCCCATCCGTCCATCTGCCCGCCTGCCTGACAGGCTGGCCAGCTACTCTGCCTGCGCGGGCTGGCCAGCCGCTGTCCTGCGAGTTAGAACTTCATCCTCAATGGGAGGGTGGCATTTTCTCCACCTCCATCACCCGTCTATGTGGGACCCCTCCTGGGGCTAGGCTCGGCCTGTACAGTCTGTCTTCTGTATATAAATGGGAACATTTATTTTATGAGAAATGTAATGCGATTTTATTACTGGCGTGGATTAAACTTATGAATGTTTCCGGGGATATGACTCTGCGTTGTTCACATGAGTGGGCCAGAGCTGGCACGCTCTCACCTCTACTCCTGGGGGGTTAGGATAGAGCAGGCAGTGGGCTCCAGCATATGCTGTTGCCCAGCAGGGGAGGGGAGCACTAGTTTGGTTTTAGTGGCCAGAGGACGGGAATAACTCAGAGTACCCAGGCCATAGGTGACAGCAGGTGTCCCCCCTCCCCTGCAAATGTACATCCTGACCCTGTGCAGACCCCTAAAAATAGGGACAGGATGAGGCCCCATGGAACCCCACTGGAACACATAGCAGATTTTGCAGATGGATACCTAGCTAGCTCTTCCCTGTTCCACAATAAGGTCTTGAGCCCCTCTCATGGCAGGACCCTCCTGAAGCTCCTCCTCCTTTTCACACTGACAGATATGTTAGACCTGACCTGGAGCCTGGCTTCTTGCTCTTATAGGTAAGCAAGAAAAATCCTGTTTTCCCAGTCAGCTAGTCACTTGGCAAACCTCACCCTACTCCAAGTCACAGCCTTGTGCTACAAGGGGGGCTAACCACAAGTAAATCAGACATGAGTTCAAATCATCAGTGAGACACAGTCCCTACCCTTGAGGACCTGCCAGGGGCCTGGAAGGCTAAAGCTGTGATAGGGGTAGGGAGGAGAAAGCCAGGGAAACTGACAGAGCTCACCATGGTACAGACAGATGCTGCTGGGGAGACCTGAGATAGGCCTGTTCCCTGAAGCAAACACAGACCATGATGACTCCAGAGAGACAGGGACAGGCAAGCCAATGGACACACTGTCAGACACATGTACTGGCAGGCAGGATAGACAGGTAGGCAAACCAGTAGGCAGTCAGCCCAGACCAGAAGACAGCTGCACCTGCAGTAGACAGGCAGACAGTGTGGCATTTCTATCTGCCTGGCTAAATTGGGCTCACCCAGGGTAGCAGGGAAAATGCCACAGTGCCAGGCACAGCGCCTGGAAGGGAAAGGGGCCGACATTGAGCATCAGGAAGAAGCCTGGCCAGGGAAGGCTATGTGGGCAGGCTTCCTACCCCAAGCCCCTTGTTTCTCTTCCTTGGGCCTGTTTTCCTCTTGGTCACAGAGTCCAAGAGGCTCTGCCTGCCCCTGGTGGCCTGACCCATCCCATCACTCCAAGCCACTTTGAAGTAAAGGAACAGTTAGGCTCTCGGGTACCTGCAAGAGGCCACTTCTTGAAATGCTAGTTTTGTGGCCATGGAAAAGAATGGCAAGGGCCAAGGAACTTGAGGTAGAAATTCTCATCTTTCAAGACACCACCTTCTGTGAAGAAACTGCACCCAAGTACCTTCAAGAGGGGAGAGCCAAAGGGCCAGTGGGTGTTTGTATGTGATGCAGACCTAGTGTGGCTGGAACACGAGAGCTGACTGTATGTGTGATGGTGGTTTGGAAGTGAGGCCGAATACATCAAGAGAGGCATGAGACCTGCTGTCCATAAAGAGGAGCTTTCCCCCTCAACTTGGAAACACAGATTGCTTTCCAGGACTGTAGCAGAGTCTCTGTTGCCAGACCTTGCCTGGGCCCCCAGGTCTATATTGCCTGCCCTAAAGACTCAACTTCCTAACTTCAGAGTTTGCTGCAGATAAAGTTGTAATACAAGTTAATTACATGGTTATGGAGAGATAACGGAACCACTCGAATGCAGTTTCTGGGCAATTACAATTGTTTCCAACAGAGTTACCATATTGCAGCCATGAAATAACATGTCATTCTGCGGTAATTATGTAATTAACTTGTCTCACCACTCTAGGTTGCACAACAATTAATTCACTCACAATGAGATCGTCTCAGAATCAGGCAGGCAGAGTTCGAAAGCCCCCTGGAAAGGAGCTGGACTTCTGAGAGGACCCCAGACCTACTCTGTCTACTCTCAGACCTCATGGGGGACTTCCCCAGCTCCACATGGCATGGAATGTGCCGTGCCCAGTATCGTGGACCCAATTTATTGCACTCTTACCACCCTTGTCCAGGAAGAGGGAGATGATCCAGGTGCGGCAAAAGGCCTGGATCTACACTGTGAAGAGCTGCGCTGACCGACATGAGCCAGGGTCACCATGCTGGACATCTTGAGGGCTGGAGTAGGATGCTCCTTGCCAGGAAGTCCTGTATCAGTCCACAGATGTTTGAAGACAAAACTACACAGGCCTGGCCTTGACCGCATGAAGCCAGTGGGAGGAAAGGGCAAGCTCTCTTATGGAGCAGCTGAGGCAGGGCTGCAGTGACTACCAAGGTCTGGGGATCATGTATCTGGAGGGGATTCCTGCTCTCCAGGGGGTCACCTGGTAATAGCCTAGCCCTCCCTCCCCAGCTACTTCCAGGGGAAAGTTGGTTATATATTGTCCTGGATCAGCTCTCCTTGGGGACTGCATCCCACCACAGACAACTAGGGATGAGGGACAGAGATGGCTGAGCAGAAGCACTGGAGGCTGCAGTAGCTCCAGCATGGGGTTTGTGGCCATGGGGATGTGGACTGTCTTTTTTGCAATATGCACAAAACCCTCTTTCCACAGCCAGCCCGGGGGGGCCCATCTCCCCTCCCTGTCTTCCTCAGTGGCCTGGTCAGAGGCCACCACAAAGGCTCTGGGCCCTGTGGACTATGGAACCTGCTCATGTCTCCAGTCCTTGGACTGAAGCTGAACCACAAAGTGGTGTTTAGAGAAAACCTCAGTTCCAATCTTGACGCAGTTTCAAGGACCCATTGTGAAATCCCACATTGGTCTTTTTCCTCCTGGGCCTGGTCCCAGTATCTTTTGTTTCACAGCCTGAGACACATAGGACCCACATGACACTGCTGTCTGAGAGAGCTCATCTCTGAAGAGATGATTGCTTGTCTCCTTTACTGTCATCAGAGACCATTCATGGCCAGACTAACTGAATCTGTCACTGAGTGATCCTCAGAACCACCTCCCTAGGGTACCAAATGAGGGCAGACTCAGGAAGGATGCTTCCTAGCTGCAGCTATACATCACCCTTGCAGAAAATGCCGCGGAGAGAATGATGTCGGTGAGTCAGTATTTAGCTGTTACCTCTAAAACTTGAATTTCTTGGAAATGGATGACTATGGATGAGCTGATATGAAGATAGGTTGGTTCCGAAAAATATTTGGTCAAGCGTGGTTTATCATGGAAGAAACACACACACAGACACATATATGGGGGAGAGAGAGAGAGAGAGAGAGAGAGAGAGAGAGAGAGAGAGAGAGAGAGAGAGAACACAGTTACTTAATTAGAAACCACAGCAACTCATCTTTGCAGATTAATACCTTGTAGCCATTCACATTGCTTTAGTCCAACTAGGGTCTCAGCTTCCCATCCCTGGGACAGGAGGACAAAGGATATTCCAAATATTCTCAGACTCTTGATGCAACCAAAGTAGACTGCTCTGAAACTCCTTCTTGGTGTCATTTCTCACACACACACACACACACGCACACATGCACGCACACGCCGGGAGCCAGCCAGCCCTACCCATGGCTCTGTCTTCCACTTGATATTCCACTTGACTCCTGCTACCACATTCCAGTTCTCTAAAGCTCCTAAATCTCTAACATGAACAAACAATATGGAGTCCTGGCCGAGTCCAGTGCTCAAATAATAAGTTTCATCTCAAACTTCTTTCTACACCTTTAACCACTTGGCTCTCCTTCTTGAAGTGTAGGGCACCCTTTGAGGGGACTCCTTGTACCCAAGATCCACTTCCAGGGGTTTGGGTCAGATCAGGAAGGAGGAAGCCAACTGCTATTCACAGCCATCAGGGGTGCAGGCAGAGGTGAAAGGAAGGCCAGCTTCCTGCTCTGGGCAGGCTCAGGGAGGAGGGGGCCAGTCATTAGGGAGAGAAATTAGCCTTTAAAGCCCATTCCCAATGTGGCTGTGCAAAGCAAGCTTGCATTCACTTTGGACTTTACCAAGTTATTTTTGTTCTGGACATCACTCTTCCTCACAAGAGCTGATGGAAATCCTCTGTACTGCTGGGCTTTCTCAAAGCACCCGATTTTCCCTCTCACCAGACCTACCCAAGACTCCCAGTGGATGCTGCCCAGACCTCGATGCTCTGAATTCATGGGCTCTGGGCCCAGGACAAGTCCCCAAGTGTCCCCCTGAGCAGGGCTTGGTAGGGATTTCCAGACCCCTTGGGAGCTTAGGGTCCTTTGTCTGCCTGTGGCACTAGAGTTGGGGGTGGCCCTCCCGCTATCCTCACAACTTTTCTGGGACACAAACAGACTCCAGAGAGAAGGTGGTCCAGAGGATTCTGCCTGTTAGTTACAGACTTTTGCCTGAGTCTGCTCTGTGAGGACGCTCTGCTGGGGGATGGGGTATCTTAGTGTCTAGAAAGGTTCAGTTTTGTCTCCCAGGGCTGGAAGATGCTGGGGGTCTGAAATAGGCTTTGGGTCACATCTCCTGATCTAGCAGTGGGTCTCCCCATTGCATTTAGGAAAATAGGGGTTGTTCCCATAGAGATCTCATAAGGCTCCTCAAAATCCCAAGGCTCTCCTTCTCCTGACTTAACCTCCATGCCCACCTTCCAGGATAAGCCATGGTTTGGATCAAGAGTCAGAGACAGAACACAGAGACAGGGAGCAGGATAAAGAGAGATTAGAAAGAAGACAGTGCAACATGCCTGTCACCCCAGCACTGGGGAAGTAGAGGCAGGAGGATCAGAAGTTCAGTATCATTCTTGGCTACACAGTGAGTTCAAGGCCAGCCTGGCTTATGTGAGATCCTGTCTCAAAATGAAACAATACAAATCAAGGGAGGAAGGGAGGGAGGAAGGGAGGGAAGGAGGGGGGTGAAGATTATGAGGTGTGGAAGAAAGGAGCAGGAAGATGAAAAGATCAAAGATGGGAGAAGGGTCTAGATAGGAGCTTCTAATTGCAGGGATGATGCCAGTAGAAAAGCAGGGTGGTGTGGTGGTAGAAGGCAGGCTCAGGAGCCAGGTGACACTGTTGGGATCATAGCTTCTCCACTTGGCTGTGCAGTCTGGAGTGTATTATTTGGC